GTTTCTAAGTGTAGATTTCTAATATTTTTTAAATTGATTTAATAGCTTGTATTAGTAAATGGTACATATAAATAATCTGTTGGACACGTTTCTTTGAAACTTCACAATAAATGTGAAAATTGAATAAGCAAATTTCCCAAACCAATAATTCCTCCAAGAAATATAGGAGGCAGACAGACCACATTAGTATTCTTACGTCTTTACAGTTACTATGCAACAAAACAGAACAAAGAAGGAGAAGAAAGAACACGTTTTGATGTTTCTTTGAGCCTCTCGAGTTTTTCTTCTGTAGAAGGTCACCTATAGTGTGAAGAGACAAGGTGCAGGGCGGTCTGTCGAGGTGGCGCACGCCGCCATAATGCAGACGTCAGAGCTCAGCTGAAGGTTACGCTGTCGGAGGCCCTTTGGTGCATCGTGTTTATGAAGGGATGCAGTGGGCTTGTGTCAGCCCCAGCTGCCCTTATCCATCCTCTTTAAGGCTTGCTCCTACCACATGCTGACTCCCCCATTTACTCACTGCTGGAGGTCCAGTCACAAATTCAAGTATTTGTTCATTTTTATAATATATTTTGGTTGTGCAGGTTTAAATGACAAATTCTTGTTAATGTTATCATCTTGAGAAATGAAGTTCACTTTCATGCTGTTTCATCCATCCGTTATCTTTACCCACTTCTTTCTGTTCGGGTTGCGGGGGTCACTGGTGCCCATATTCAGCAGTCACTGTGCGAGAGGTAGGGGACACCCTGGACTGGTCGCAAGTCCATCACAGGGACACTTAGACTTAGACACTTAGACTCCTCCCCCCGACCAATCAGTGACCGACAGTGTTTCTGATGTCACGGCTCGAGTCGCTTGGATCCCTTGAGAAGCCGGGCCAGAATTCTGGGAGGTGAGCCGGTCCCAAGTACTATGGAAAAGACCTCAAACACGGGTCGAGCTAGAAATATTTGACCTGCTCTGTGACAGTGGAAAAGGGGCATTAGAGACAAATGAGACAACCATTCACTCTCTCACTCACACCTAGGGGCAATTTAGAGTTACCAATCAGCCTAACATGCATGTTTTGGTCTGATGGGAGGAAACTGGAGTACTCGGAGAAAACCCACACATGCACGGAGAGAACATGCAAACCACCCAGAAAGGTCCCCAGCCGGGATTCAATCCGGTGACCTTCTCACTGAGAGGCAACAGCTCTACCAACTGCGCCACCGTGCCGTCCTTCATGCTGTTTCAGATGAGCTTAATTGATTCATCAGCAGATGATGAGTTCTGGTGTGTGTGCTGAAACAGCTCTGTAATAAAATCTTAGATATGTAGTATCAAGCCTTGACTTGTGATCAATGTTTAGTAATAAGTGCCAAGTTGTTCTTTTTTTTTTTTTTCATAACTAATTTTTAATGTAACTTCCCTCTTGGTTTTATTATTGTGGTTTTAAGTTCTTCAGACAGAGCTACTGGCTGGCTTATTTTTGATCATTGCGAGGCTATAGGATGCAGCAATGTGCAAACTAGCAGCTCAGTTACTAAAACACTTGGCTAAGGACCATTCAAGTCCATATCTGTTTGAACCTTTGCTCCAGTTATTAAAAAAGATGGCATGAAATGTAATAATGACCCTGTTGTGAATATATCCTGAACTCTTTAGTTGGCAATTTGTGCTTTTTGTTAGTTAGCATTTTGACAAACACAAAAACTATTTCTAATTGTACTGCACACATTACACATTAGCTGCAGTCACTTAAATAATCAGTTTTGGAGGGTTTTTGAGATTAATTAGTAAATCAGATCATTGCTAAAATAAATGAGTTTTTGCTTTGTGCTAATTAACAACCCAACACACTAACCACTTATGGTAAACATGGCAAACGTGATATATTTACCTAATATCAGCTTGTTGTCGTTGTCATTGGTGGATTTTCATGCTAATATTTGCCTTGAGTTCAAATTACAGTGGGTTGAGCTAGACAAAGCAGCGAACACGATTATCGACTCAGTCATCAGTTGACTAGGAGTACCGGTACATCTGGGCAGCTTTTCCTTTATCTGCAGTCGCCTTTCTTTGTATTTCTACATTCACTGGTTTAGTGGGAACATTTTGCTATGAATAACTAACTAACCTTATTTCTTGGCCCGAGAAAGTTACGGCTGATGGTCCTGTCTGTTCGTGAACATGTTCCAACAAGCCTCCATGCGAACATGTCACGTCATGGTTTAGATTTATCTATTTTAACCATCCTCATTGACTTATGGTATCAATAAAGCCTCTGGTAGATGCTAAAGGAAAATCCAGCAAGGAAACCCATTGGCAATAAAAATACAATGTTGGTGAAACTCTTGGAAAAGCTGCCATGATGAATGGCCGAAGCAGCTTTTTTTTAATCAGCAAGTGAAAGGTCACTCCTGTTTATATTCAAAGGTACCGGCTGCAGTATCAAACCAGTAAAGCTCTGGAGGAGAGCCAGAATGGCTGCATATTTTTCCAGAGTGGTTGTAATGGCAGCTGAGCGCCATTTGGTGTCTGGAGTGTTGCTAAGGAGGTTTTTGATGATGTAGGCTGCTTATTGCCTCGTCAGGGTGTGCGTAAGCACAGACTCTTTGACACTGACGTGGAACTAAATGCTGGACAGGCAAGTCTGCAGGAGGAGTACTTGTCTCTTGCCCCCCCCCCCTCCCCCACACTCCCCCACCCGTTCCCCAGAGAAAAGTTTGTATTGATTTGTTGGCTTGGAAGAGGTGGATGCACAGATAAGCATAATGGTTAAGCAAGCAAAGCAGTTGTAGCTGCTCATTTCTCAATCTTGTCTGTTTTAGTTATTTGCCTGGGATGTGTCTTTGTTCCTGTTTTTGAGAATGCGTGCATCAAATAAATTCCCACCTCTTCTTTATTCCGCCTATTTCTGCTGCATTGTTGTCCTTCTGGGTCCTGTATTTGCATGCCGTCACACACAAACACACACACTTGTTCCCTTACAGCACCCCCCCCCCTTCCCCCCCCATTGCTTCCTCCGTCTGTGTCTGCCACCACCAGACGCAGGGACTGATAATATCTGCTCCAACGCCCTATCCTCCTCCTGCTTTGTTCCACTCCTCTCCTATATGCTTCAGTACCTATTGTTTATTCTCATTGTGCATATACGGTACATGTTCTACACAGAACAGGCTTCCTTTATACATACATACATACATACATACATACATACATACATACATACATACATACATACATACATACATACACACATACATACACACACACACACACACACACATATATATATATATATATATATATATATATATATTCAAGATGCAATATAAATTCAAGTTGCAGCTAGATTATACTTGTCTGTGTTGTGTGTTTGTCTCTTCACTGATTATCATTTGTATTTGCTTAGTGTCTGGACACGTCACTCTGCTCCCTGAGTGTGAACTGAACAGCAGGTTGCATGCATCATCCTTGCATCATCCTGCAGTATGTTTCAGGCACCAGCAACTCCTCGGTGTCTGAAGAGACAAAGCTGTGTGTGGCAGCAGCTCAGGGCTACTGGTGAATGTTAGCATGTGGCTCTGGCATGACTTCTATGACTGTGTTTGTACCAGTAGGGTGGAAAAAGTGCGAGGAACAAGGACAGGCTCTGTGAAGGGAGGAGCTGCCTTTTAATATGCTCCGTCATTGGTCGACGGCGAGCGCTGCTTGCCTGTAAACCTCTGTCTGATTGGTTTCTGCTTTGCATTGAGCAGAGCAGCTGCAGTTGTGAAGAACTGCCCCCTTCCTTTCTACCTTTTCATACCTCTTCCCTTCATATTAATAACCATCTGAGAATCATCTGCACGCCACGCTCCAACCTGTGCCACCTCAAGGACATCAGTTTATATTGTATGACCACACCAAGTTTCTTAATTACTTTTTGCTCTGTGGAGGGCAGGGGAGTGAAGTGACGTATCTGTCCTGCCTGCAATCTCCCTCCATCCTCTTCCTCTCTCTCCTCTGTATCACTTAATCAAGACATAGCTTGCCCTTTCCTGTTCATTGCTGCCTCCCTCCCTTCTGCTCTCCTATTTGTTTGCCCTCGCTTTTTTTTCCTCTTTGGCTGTTTTCTCTCCACCTTCCTGCAGCGTTTTCCTCATCAGCCTCCCCTAAAAGCAGCTCCGCACGAGGCTGCATCGGCTCAGTACTATTTCCCACTCAGAAGGGGTGCAGTTTTTGTTAACGCTTCTCTGTTTTCACAACCCACAGCGAGACAACAAGCAAGGACATGCGGCGGAGAGGTCAGTGAAGAGGATGAAAACCGAAGACTAGAGAACAGCAAATGAGGGATGAGAAAGAGACTGAAGTAAGAGAAGGAAGTGGAACTTCAAAGTGCCTACCCTGAGGTTTTGTTCAACGGGTATGCTGGGTTACAGCAGGCGAGGGCTCAGTCTACAGTCGGCCTTGAATTGAGGCTATATTTTGTCCTGACACAAAGTCATCCATCCCACGTTGCTGAGTTGCAGTCTCGACATACCCTGAGCCGAGCTACAACATTATCTCATCATTACAAGGACATTACAGTGTAAGGTTCTGCTTTTTCTTTCTTTCTTTTATTTTATTTTTTGGCGAGGGGGGCTCTACATTAATTTTTTTGGTTTCTCTGCAGCCTATGCTTCAGGCCTGTTCATGCTGACATGAATGTAAATAAGACTTATTGTGGGTGTCAGCTGATTCACTTAAGTTTACAGACATATCTGAGCAAACCATAGTGATGTCTTCAGAGTAGTTTTCCTGCCTTGTTGTATTTTTTTTTTCTCCTTTAAGGCAGAGCTGGCCTCTGTTCATGGTTAACCTCCACTATCTCATGCAGTGCAACTTCAGCTGCCACTTTTCCCAAGAAGAGCTAATAAACATCCCCCAAAACACACCAACTAAAGAACTCAAGGCCTATATGCACTAAGGGGAAAATAGTTTTTTTTTTTCCTTTGTGTTTTTTCCGGAAAGATTTTTTCCCCTATTGAATCACTATTAGTCACCCTTGGTCACGTAGGACATTTTTCCGTTCATTTGCCCTCGCCACTGCTCAGCGTTTGTGTGCGTCTCAGATGGCTGTCAGCATGACCATGGGGCGAGACACCAAATGGCTGACCTTGGAAGTGTGTCGTGAGTTTCAGAGAGGCACCTGCTCTCGGTCTGATTCCGAGTGTAAGTTTGCACATCCCTCACGGAGCTGCCATGTGGAGAATGGTCGAGTCATCGCCTGCTTTGATTCGCTCAAGGTAACAATGCAACTCGCACATCACACACATCAGTTCCTGCCATATTACAAGTGTCTGGTTCCCATGTTCTCTGTCAGACATGTTCAGTTCTGTGGTAATGTTTGGTGTGTCTTAGTAGTTGAGGTTTCGTTCACTTACAGACATTTTTATATATGCACATCCACAGATACTCTTAAACTATGGTTTCCCACAGATCTTTGTAGTTAAGCTGGTTTTCTACAGTTTTATAATTATCAGAGCCTTTTGATTTCTTAATTATATTTTACAAGTCCTATTATGCTTTTAGAGAGAAAAATCATGTTGTAACAACCTTCTTGTCTAAATTAAGACTTGTATACATATCTTTAAAATTGGGTGAATACCGGCTTGTAAACCTAAAGATCTGGGATCAAACCAAGGAATGAATGATATTGCATGTCGTCCAGTTAACTTTATGAGAATCCCAATAGTTATGATTTTTGCAGCCTCCATAATGGTCCAAAATGCATGTGCTTTTTCACTTCATAACTATTTTGACATAAAAGATCAGATGAAGAAATCAAGCTAATGTGAAATTTCCTTTAAGATACAGAAAAAACTGACAACATTTGCATTTTTCCTCCTTTAGATTACCAAAATTAAATGAAAAGAATTTAATTTTGTGATTAAAGTCATGTCAGCCTTGTCTGTAAATTAAATTACTAAAACAAAAACTTTTAGTGTAAATTCATATTTGAAACCCATTGGTTGCATTGTTCCCTAAAGTTGTTGGTTTTTAAAGGTGGAATATAAAACATTAGATTTTTTGAGTCTTAAATTATTGCCCTAATTCAAGGTCAGGACTGTGTTGTGGTGGTTAGCATAGTGACCATTAAAATATATGTCCAGTTTAAATATTTTCCTTGTATTTGCATAGATTTCCTTTGGATTCCCCTACTTCCTCACACAGTGCAAAAGTATGCATCATAGGTTAATTGGTAATTTTAAAATGGCCTTTGGAGTGAGTTTGATTGGTATTCTCATGTGTCTTTAATTGCCCTGATAAGGCTTATTGTTGTTTTCACCTACAGGTTAATTTTGGTGTTTTGGAACTGAATTAGGAAATACCAAATGTTCAATATTACATTAAGTCGATGTGATTAATAAATTTCAGTGGCATGCTTTGGTCAAAACTCAACCCAATTACAGTACCACAGGACTCTTATGAAACCTCTCTTTAGAGCTGTTTTCTTAGCAGCTGATTTCAGAGTACTTAATGAGACATTTTAATCCAGTCCTTCCTTTTGCTTCACGCAGCATCCGTTCCCAGCTGTTTGTTTGCGCAGAAATTACCCTAAACCTAGTCCTTGACTAGAGCCTTCGTTATTCAGACTGACAGTTTGCAAGAACACCACAGCAATCCTGCACTGTTAGAAAATCCACTCTTTCTTTTTCCCACCTAAAGATCAGGGCTAGAGGTACTGAAGGTAGAGGTGCTGGAGTCTATCCCAGTATAGTCCATGCTGGGATGCACCCTGGACAAAACTCCCTTATCTTCCCTTCTTGCCATGAGCACAGCAGAATTAATATTTTACCTTAAATTTAGAACTGTTACTTCAATGTGCTAATTTTAAACACTGGTAGGTGTTGTTTTTTTTTTGTTATGATGTGTTTTGTTAATATATTAATAATGCATTCCGTCGCAAATGAGAAATCATAATTTAAATGGACTGTACTTCTGTAGCGCCTTTCTGTCTTATCAAGACACTCAAAGCTCTTTACACAACAATCTGTGCCCTCATTTACCCATTCATACAGCACTCTACTAGATCTATACAAAGCTAATTGAATAGTTTATTCTAAATAAACTAATCAGTGTTTTATCACATTCATACACTGATGGGACTCACATCAGAGGCTATGAGGGGTTTAGTGTCTTGCCCAGGGACACTTCAGAATGTGACTGCTGGTGGATTCAAACCCCCAATTCTTGCATTGGAGGACGACTGCGCTAACCACTCAGCCACAGCCGCCCCGATTTTCACAGAATTTCCTATCTCTGTCTGAAAAAACAAATCAAAGAATAATAATAATACTTCAGATATTCATTTTAGGTTAGTAAACTTAAATCGGTGTACATAGAACACAAGTGGTTTTGGTTCAAAGTAAAAAAAAAGATTTTTTTTTTTTTTAAGAAAATGCATTTAATAACTAAACAAAAAGCCACAATTAAGAAGTTCTGATTTCTCATGAGGTACAGCGAGTGTAGCAGAATTTCAGGTTAATTGGAGGAGATAAATAATAGGGAGTTTTACATCCCTTCAAAACATAAATTGATGATGTTACTTTAAAATAAAGATTTTTTAAATTTATTTTAAAGTAAAGATGTATTTAGCTCAGTGTTTCCTGGTTATCATGACTGCTGGAGTGTATTTTTCTCAGGTAGCTGATCTGCTGACGCTCTGTTCCTTCATCTGTGCTGATGTGAGCTCATTGGTCGTTCTGCTTCAACATTACTGCAGCTGCTCTCCTGACTTTTATTCTGTCTCCTCCACCGCAGAACCACACCATCAGCACTGTGCGCACACAAACGCACACACACAAACCCACTGAGAACTGATGATACTTCAATGTGTTTTACACAAGCTCCAGTTATTTGAAAAAACACGAAATGTACTAAATCAAAATATGCAGTTGGTGTGATGATGTGTCATTGTTTGTGGAAGATTCAAGTCGCTTCTAAGCTTCTCTGTAGCCAAGAAGTGAGTCCTAGACAAGGGGCTTTCTGTCTGAGTGCAGCTGCTGTCTCCTCGTTTATTGAGTTAGAATTTATTATTCAGCCATTTTTCTGTGTTATGTCCTACAGAGCTGAGGGGAGATGGAGAAGAGCGAAAGAGAGAGGGGGCCTAGCAACAGTGCAGGAGTGCATACCCATTGGATAGTTTGATCTTTCTGAGTGGCATGGCTGTTTTTAGCACAGAGCAACAGCTTTGTTCTGTGCTGGTCACATCGATGGGAGCCTTTTTTATCCAAAGGTAGTGAGGAACCATTAAAAGATGGCTCGAGGTCGCGTTCGAGAGAAGCAAGAACGGTGTCAGCTGAAGGTCGAAGCAGTTTACAAATCAGGTTGCAGCAGGGCTGTCGTGTCAGCACAGTAAACAAATATCTGTTTACAACGGCACCCTTACCCTGAGCGTGTTTGATGATTACACTTAGATGATGTTGTCTTTGGTCAACTGACCTGAAGCACTGACGCTCTGTCCCCAGCAGATATGCTCTACAGCATCACTCCTTCCTCTGGCTCTCCACCCACTCCTCCCTCCTTTGTTAATTTTATGGATTTATCTGCTAATGGCCGCCCTCCTCACCGTCCCTCCCATATCTGGCATCTCCAGGCCGGTGCACACCGACTGCTGTCAGTCCCCATTGCTCCTCCATTAGCTCTGTCTACTCACTTTGAATGGACTGCAGAGAGGGAGGGGGAGAGCTCACCACTTAGATCTTTTTACCTTGTTAACTGGAGTGCTGCTGTCATCTCATATGATTAGTGCGGACATCACATATGCCCATCATCATACAGTAGATGTCACAAATTCACATTTGAATGACATCAGTGTGGTGCAGGAGCTAAGAATATTGTATCTTTGCATTATTTCACTCTGTCTGTAATGCAATGTATCTTTGAGTTGATCATTACCAAAATGTATCTTTTGTCCAAACCAGTATTAAGATACTCAGTTTGCAAATACAACAAGCACATACGAAAAGAGCAAATTCAAGACTGGAACATCAAAATTTTCCTTTACTTTTTCAATATATCTATATTTTTTTTATCAGAGATGACTAAATTTCTCAAATGGAAATAAACCCAAAGTGCACCTGAAGCTGACAGGACTTACTTTCTATTGTTTTTTTTCCCCTACACAATTAGCTATACTGTATTGAATCATTGTGCAAACAGAGCACAAGCTTTATTATAACGTTGAGTTTTTACCAGAATAAAGGCATGGAGTTTGTCTGACGACACCAGAAAATAAAACACAGCTGTGAAATGTGAGCAGCATTGTAGATCCATGCAGAGATTACATTTATTAATGTCCCAGCTCTCCTTTCTGCAGGAGCACAGACTTTCTCTGTGTTGCATAGTGTGTTGCCATGGCTACCACAAGGAGATTCCTGACCTCTCATCAGCACCGCTTTTTATTGGCCTTCTTCTCTACCCTAGTTTTTATTGCCTTCATAACAGTTCTTTATATCCATTCGTGTTCATATTGTAAAATTACAAATTCAGTCAATTATATGAATACTCAATATCAGATTCATTTTTATCCCAGTGAGTTGGATGGCTCATGGGACTCAGTCCTCATTACAGGCTCATCCCTAAACGCACAGCCTGCTGACGCAAAGTTTGCTTATGTCTCCAATGTGAGCGAGAGCCATCTTCTCTCCTGGCCATTTTTTACTTGGCTGTGTGCTCACCTGTACACTTCTTGTACACACAGTTCTTAAACTTTAAATTTAAAGGTCAAAATCTGATTTCTGGATAACGTCAAAGGTCAGGAACAGCACCTTTTGTTTTATTAAATTGACTTACAACTCAAATAAATTGTACTGTTTGCTGTTACTATTGTTTGCTTGTGAACCTAAGAAATGTTTGACAGCAAAGCTTCATGTGCACTGAAGTAAAAGACATTTGGACTGAAATGTCATTAACTTAATTATTTTTCATGCCCCAACAAAATAGCATGCTTTAGTTTTAACACAAGATTGCACAGATCTAACACTGAAGTCAAAGGCAACATGACACTGTAGCATCAAAATGACTGAAGTGAAAGTTACAGAGATGCAGTTAAAATACTTAGCAAGCTAATGTAAAAAATAAACTGCTTGCCTTCAATGAGCTGCCTATACTGTACCTCGGCACAGAAATTGTTGTCAAATAAAGTTATTTACCGGTAAATTGTTCTTTTGACCATCAGCCTCAATATGAGCTTTTTTTAGTCAAGTCAAATTTATTTACAAAGCACATTTAAAACAACAACTGTTTGAAAAAAAGTGCTTAACAATAAAATCACAGCATCAAGTAAAAATAACATGATATAATTAAAAGCATTAAAAAAACATATAAGCACAAACACAATGAGAAACAATGGGCTAATAAATCAGATCACAGTCAGTGAACACAGGTGCATTTTCAGGAGAGATTTGAAAGCAAGGACTGAAGTAGCCTGTCTAACATTGATGGGCAGATTGTTCCAAAGTTTAGGGCCAATGACTGTAAAAGCTCGATCTTCTTTGAGCTTCAACCTGCAGGTCTTTCAACCAAAAGCAGCTGGTCAGATGATCTCAGCACCCGAGAAGGAACATAAGGTTGAAATAGATCAGAGAGGTCATCTGACCAGCTGCTTTGCGGGTGCAAGGCCGTTAATGCACTTAAATGTCAACAGGAGAATTTTAAACATGATTCTGACATGCACACGGAGCCAGTGAAGGGAGGACAAAACTGGTGAAATGTGCTCAAACCTACGAGTTCCTGTTAATAGCCGAGCTGCAGCATTTTGGACAAGCTGGAGATGTGAAAGGAAGTCTGACTGACCCCAACATAAAGTGCATTACAATAGTCCAGCCAGGTTGTAACAAATGCATGGACCTATTTTTTCAAGGTAGGATCTGGACAACATGGACTGAAGCTTAGCTATCTGCCTTAATTGGAAGAAGTTTTTTTTTCATGAACAGAGTTAATCTGTTTATTGAACTTAAAGTCCAGGCCTAAAACCATCCCGAGATTTGTAACAGACTGCTTCCGATAAGGCTGAAAAGAGTCAAGGTTTACGGGATCCGTGACAGCGCTAGAGCTAGGGTTATTTCAGTTTTCTGATCATTAAAACATTTGAAGCCATCCATGCCTTAATATCATCGAGACATTTTAACAGAGGGCGAATGGAGCAGGAACTGTTGGGTTTTAAGGGCAGATAATCTGACAGTTATCAGCATAGCAATGAAACTAAAAACCACGTTTCTTCAGGATAGACCCCAAGGGGAGCAGATACTGTACAATGAAAACAGAAGGGGTCCAAGATTTCAGCCTTGCGGAGCCCCGCAGGAAAGAGGAACTGAAGCAGATAAACTATTACCAACATTTACACAAAAACTTCTGTCACTCAGATATGAACGGAACCACTGTGGGGGGTTTTTAACTACATTTTTTTACTCAGAATGCAAACTCCCACCAACATGATGACTACAAAATGAATACAGATTTTCCATCCACTAATCCAGTTTACCTTTCCTCTCTTTACACATTTAGATAAGTCGATGACGACGTGACGTAACACCTTCTTCTCTGCTGCCTTATTTTCTGATAATAACGGACAGCATGAGAGTTGACCCGATTCACTTTACAAATCATGAACAAACAACTGTAACAAAACAAACTCAGACATCTCGTGACTTTAAGAAACGTGACATTTGTTGTTATTATTGGTGCCTACACTGTACATTTATTGCAATAAAGCCAATGTTTTACAGCTAATTTTTCAGTTTTGGTGCTTTGATTCTTACACCAAACGCAGGCTCACTCCTTCCCCTGCTAGCCCTGTGCTCTCTCTGCACACTCCTGAAGGAGCCCCTCCACTCTTATAACAGTAGAATTGTACTATTGTATTTAATGCAATGCAGATTGATTCAGACTGACTTGTTCTGGCCTTGATCAGTCGCTGTAAAATGATCTCAGTTTGTTAGACCTTTTCTTTTTTCTCTGTTCATGTGTTGTCACCTTTGCAGTAACCTTACATATCACCAGTTGTTTTATGTGGGTTTGGCCTAAAGATAAACCATCCAAGTGACATTTTAAGGATGTAGATGAGCAGGTGAACAACGGCTTACGACAGCTTGTACATAAAACACATTTTCAACACAGAAATGTTTAGGGACATCTGATTTTGATTTTAAAGCAATTATTGACTGAAATTGTTGTTAGTGTTAGCGTGCATTCAGTTATGCTAAACATAATTAAATAAAAGTTTGCTACATTAAAGAAGATAACATTAATAGTATTTGTGGCAGTGGAACCAAGTACTAATTTTTATATTTTCAGAGAAAATCAAGGAATTCCCAAAGAATTAGCAGATTAAAAATATGACCACACCATTGTCTTGCCCTTGGCAACATTTAAAAAATGTAAAAATAAAATTCTATATATACTGTGTGTGTGTATATATATATATATATATATATATATATTTGTAAAAAAAAAAAAATCATCTTTTAAACCTGTATAATCTAGGTTGAGTTATAGAATCTGTCACGTTGAACGATGAGAGTCGAACAGATGTTTTTAGTCTTTATCACCAGTGACCTTAGTTGAATTTTTTTTTCTGTGCCAGAGTGGAAAAGTCCAAAGCTGGCTAAAATACTACACTTGTTGTTTCACATAACATATTCCTTAATGGTTTCAGATACAGTTTATGGTCTAATGGGGTTCATAATCAAAACAAGACCTCTAACTTTGAACACATTAACCAGAGGTTTTTAAAGTTTGTTTGAAAAGGTTGTGTTTGGTTGTATGTAAGAGTCTTTGGCTAAACTTGAATTAGTTGCTAAAAACAATGTTTTTTTTATTTTTATTTGTAAGTTCTGCTGTCATTTGTGTCAAAACACACATTTGATCACTGTTTTTCTATCAATAAACGTCACACTGTCTACCAGTTCTGATTCCACTTCTTCCCTTCTCATCTTCAGGGTCGTTGCACACGAGAGAACTGTAAATACCTGCACCCACCTCCACACCTGAAAACTCAGCTGGAGATTAATGGGAGAAACAACCTGATCCAACAGAAGGCCGCGGCTGCCATGTTGGCTCAACAGATGCCCTTCATGCTGCCTGGAGCGCAACTGCAGCCGATTGTGAGCAGTTCACTCTAAGACCCAGACTAAGACTGAGCTAACTTATTTATTGTGTTTGAGAATAATGAAAACATATATTATTGTTATTTCTCACTGAGAATGCAGCATGCTAATATAATATAATATATAATGCAATATTCAGTTTTATTAGTTTTACATCAAGTGCTCCTCCTGGAAGCTGCCATTCTGATTTTTGTTCTTTAGTCAAGATAAAACAGGAATTAAAAAAAGAGTCACAAAACAATTGCAATGGGTCCAAGTCTTACGCATTTCAGTAAAATCAAAATCGTTGATTATCGAATGACAAAACCAAATGTATTTCATGTTATTCTTGTTTCACTCTTTTTTTTTCTTGCTCAGCTGTAAGTAGATTTGTTGTTCTTAAAGCCATTATCTCTCTCTCCCTCTTGTTTCTGTGGGTTATTTTATTCTCAGACAACATTTCCAGTGACACCCTCCCTGGCAACCAGTCCCAGCATGGCATTCAGTCCATATCTCAGCCACATGGGCCCAGCTATGGGCTTGATGCCTGAGCTGCTTCCCACCTCCCCCCTTCTTGTCCCTGGGAGTCCCACAGGCCTGGCAGCAATGGGGAATGGCACCTCGGCACAAAAACATGCGCGCACAGACAAGCTAGAGGTATGCAGCCCCGTGTGCAGTTGTTGTGTTTCTATGTTTAGTCAATGCACGATGAGAGGTAGATGTTGATCAGTGTTCCCGGTGGCCCCGGCAGGTTTGTCGAGAATTCCAGCGTGGTAACTGCACACGGGGTGAGAACGAATGCCGCTACGCTCACCCTCTAGAGGCTGGCATGGTGGACTGCAGCGAGAACTCCGTCATCGTCTGTATGGACTACATAAAGGGCCGCTGCAGCCGAGACAAGTGCAAGTATTTCCACCCACCGGCTCACCTGCAGGCCAGGATCAAGGCCTCGCAGCACCAAGCCAGTCAAAACACAGCATCTGCATCCTTGGTGAGTCCTCAGTGCTGCAATAGCAACATTTACTGTGAGTTATTTGTCCCCACGGGTGATTTTCTTTGATTTTATACAGATTAATACAGTTCAGTATCAAATGATCCCTATGCCAAGTTTAAACTTGATAATATAGTTAGTGGGTTATGTTTTTTTAATTGTTGTTCACCACTCTGTCATGGAAAAAAGGAGATTCCCAAACAGGCCAAGGTGTAGTTCGTCAGATTTATTTACAAAGCTTTGGTGAGCAGTCCAACATTTACAGCACATGCAATTACAAGATCACACTCTTATCAATGCTCTCATCTCATCTGTGTGAAACCCTGACCTGCTCTAACTCCCTGAACCGGACAAGTTAGTTTTATAGAACAACCCCCAGCCCAGGCCTCAGCTCCTCCCCTTCATGTCCGAGCCGCCATTGAAAGGTTCGCTTGCAGACAGGAAGGAGTGGATCTGAGTCCAAGGCTCTGCTTGAAGGCACGTCACCATATCATAACTCTATCGTAACAATATCATATCAGTCAGCACTTGAGGATATCAAAACAACCAGTTCCTTCTGTTCCTCACTGACTGGTCACAGTAAGAGTGGTTACATGGGACAGTTAATATCACACATCACAAACATGAGCAGAAGCACATTGCAGAACGTTCCCACAGGAGAGTTATTGATCATGATGAGTGGAAATAATACACATTACACTGACAACTCTCCGCAGATGTAACATGTGATTTTGACAGTAAAAATTTGAAGTAATTTGAATCATTTCAAGCCAAAAGTTTAAATGATCTGATATTTATTTAGATTTTGTTCCGTCTCTTGTACAGTTTTTTGCTAAGTTGCTCCTGGTTTTACTGTATTTTTAGTTACTAATGGCTCACACTGGTACAGATTCAAACTCGGCTCAAAATCTTTCTTGTCAGTAAAACCTGTAGTGAAACTCTTTATATTTCTCATATGTAGACACCTCAGATCCTATAGTAGTACTTTCTCCTCACTCTTGACTAAAACAAAAAGAAGATAATTGTGTATTTGCTGTTCTGGGTTCAAGATTGTGTGTCTCTCGAGTTCGTTAATTCTCAGCTGATGATCCACCTCTTTTCAAAACGTTTTCTGGCTGACACATCTGGCTACACTGTGTTTCTTTTCATTCATTGTTGTTTTACTTGCGTACTTGTATAAAACTCACTGTATACTGTAATTTAAATTGGGCTTTATAAATTAAATGACCTTACCTACTATTTTTACCAGCTTTTTATTGACTGTAAAAATAGTTTTGACTTATTGTGTACATATGTTTTAGATTATTTTCTGTTTTTGTTTTTCTAGTGTTCATCTTTGGCATCTTTTAGGGCCATAGAGTGTTTTAGCTGGACACCATTACAGAATAAGATCACATTTGTCTCAGTATGCTCTTGGCTTGACCTTTGAGCCATACTGCAGACCTTCAGCTCATCTTTGATGACACACTGCCATCTTGTGGTTCTAAAAGCAAATCAACATCCCCATGGGAAAGGATTGTAGGCAGTGCGTTTATATTTGATGTTATTAGGTGATGCCCGCTCATCTTTTTTCCGATTTCTCCTCCTGTTCAGGCTTTGCCTCCAGGAGCTGTGCAGACTCTACCGAAGAGGCAGATTATAGAGAAGAGCAATGGAGCTGCAACTACAGTCTTCAACCCCAGCGTGTTTCACTACCAGCAAGCACTGGCCAACATGCAGCTCCAGCAACCAGCCTTTATCTCCACAGGTGAGTCTCTTCTTCATTGTGGGTTAACAGAGAGGTTATGTGACTGTGAGATAAAATGATTTACAGTTGGGGTGGTAACTTATTTGTTGAGACTTCAAACAAGGTTAGAGGTCTCATGTTGCAGCAGCAAGCATCAGAACGTCATTTATGTTGGAGCTTTGTTGACCCACAGATTAGTAGGTGTAATCTTCTTTTTCAGTCAGATGCTGAAGATGTTGGAAGACCCTTTGGTTTTGTATGAACGTAGAAAATAGTGAAATAAAATGGCAGGTGACAAAGTAAACAGAAAAAGCATAAGACAAACAGAATAAGATGTATCGTGCCGTTTCAACCATATGTCTCATAAGAGGGCTTTACCCTTCTTTGTATGCAGCTCTTTTTTTGAGAGAATTATGCTTTTTTTTTTATCTCCATAACGTTAAATTTGAACATCTTATATGATTGCATTTTATTGGGTGCCAATCAGAAACATGTGCCAGTTGGAAAAAATGAATTTACATAAACATTTTGTATAAATTTTGCACACATGAAAAGAGGATTTTCTTTAAAAAGCATCAGATTGATCAGTGAAATAGCTGAAGGGTGTTGGACATGATTTATTGAAGAGTCTGCAGCAAAATACCCACTTATCAGTTCTATATGTGGTGGGGAAATATCTGTCAATACATATTTAGTTTACAGTATCTGTTTCAATCTCTGGACACTTTATATCCATTTTGACACTAACAAACTGCACATCAAAGCTGTTCCTCTCATCTCTGAACCTGCTGAAAAGTTAACAGAAAGAGCTCTCCCAAACACACATCCAGCCTGAAACAGTTCTTTTTTTAGATCTACGAGGGTTTTATGTTGAAAGAGGATAGTATCTCTGTTGTTTTAAAAGTTTTGAGCCAGACTCTCACAGTGACAGGAGGCTGGATCCAAAGATGATGACTGACAGAAAGAGCTTCACAAAATAAAACAAACTTTATTATACTGAGACACAAACAGCTAACAAGGCAGCAAAACACAAGACACATGCCCCGTCCTCACAAACTGAAGAAGGGGCACAAGGAGACACAGGAAGGCACAAGGAGAACCAGATGTGGCAGAAGAACCAATAATACTCAGCTGGTGAGTGAGATGACGTTAAGGAGCTAAAATAACTGGGGCTGATGAGAGAAGTGGCAGCAATTGTGATGGGTATAACAGGGAGCAGGTGTAGATGGGCGTGACAGGCTGGCTGCAAAAGTTCTGACTGGGGGAGAAGTGGCTGATGGCCCAAGAGAACAAAAACGAAACACAAGGGGACAAAAACGATACACAAGGAGACAAAAACGAAACACATTGGG